GGAGGCTGAGGCAGGAAGATAGCTTGAGCCCAGGAGTTTGAGGTTGCTGTGAGCTAGGCTGACGCCACGGCACTCTAGCCCGGGCAACAGAGCAAGATTCTGTCTCAAAAAAAAAAAAAGAAAGAAAGAAATCAAAACAAGATACACAGTTAAATGTCTTGTTCCCAGTCCTATTCTCATCTACTCCACTCCATACCTGTACTTTTCTTCCCTAAAGGTAACGACTTATTTTATATTATTTTGGGTATACACTTTTAATGTAATTTTTATGAAAATATAAATAAATATTCTGATTTCTCCCTTTTTTATACAAAAAGTAGCACAGCATAAACACTATTCGACATTTCACTTATTTCTCTTTACAAAACATCCTGCAAATCTTGTTGCATTCCATTGTGTGGATGTATCATAGTTTATTTAACCAGTCCCCTAATGATGAACACTTGCTGGTTTCCAATATTTTGCTGCAATGAATCCTCCTGTATATGTAATTTTGTTTATGTACAGGTATATCTGTAGGAAAAACACCCAGAAGTGCTAAAGCTGTGATTTTGATAACTGTTGCCACACTGCCCCCTGTAGGAAAATATAGCGTTTTGCATTCCAACCAGCAATGTCTGAGAGGCCAGTTACCCCTCAGCCTTATAACAAACATCCTTGTTTTTTCAAAATTAAAAATAAATTTTAGTTTAGAGAAGTAGTTGGCTTCTTAGGTAAATATTCACAATATTATACTCATGGTATGGGTGAATATGACAAAGCAATACTTAAATGAAAAAGGGCTGGAATGTTTAGTGTAGAGGAACTGTGACTTGAGTATGTTTCACTCACCCGATTTTTAATTTTTTCAGTCAGGAATGGTTTAATCATGGAAAAGACAGCATGGAAAAGTACTGGTTCATTTATCAAATGGATGCCACGAACTTTCAATGGAAAGGAATCCTTTTGAAAATAAAGAATAATCTTCTTAATAACAAAACATAAATAAATATTACAATCCTATTCCTAATGACAAGTCTCCTCTTTGAACACTTGCTAAACTTACAGCAACACCTAAAGTGTAATTTTATTTTCAGAATTATTCATTCCATCAACTTAAAAGCCTGGTGTACAGTTCACTGTCACTAGATTAAGACCTCTAAAAAAAAAAAAAAAAAA